CCGACCCCAGAACAGCCTGATATCCGCAAGCCTAGGGAGCCACACTGGTCTCCCCAGGCTTGCGGAGAGGTGCGTGAAGCCCGGGGGCGCTCTTCAGCGCGCACCAGGCTTCGGGATGCAGGCAGCTCTGCGCTACCCTCCAGAGCCCCGTGCGGCTTCGCGCTGGGATCCGGGGGGTGGCGCGGAGCTGCAAGAAGCCCTGGAGCGCAGGCAGCTCCGCACCACCCTCCGGAGCCCCGCGCGGCTTCGCGCCAGGATCCAGAGGGTGGTGCAGAGCTGCAGGAAGCCCTGGAGCCCAGGTAGCTCCGCGCCACCCTCCGGAGCCCCGCGCGGCTTCGCGCCGGGATCCGGGGGGTGGCGCGGAGCTGCAAGAAGCCCTGGAGCGCAGGCAGCTCCGCACCACCCTCCGCAGCTTCGCGCCGGGATCCGGGGGGTGGCGCGGAGCTGCAAGAAGCCCTGGAGCGCAGGCAGCTCCGTGCCACCCTCCGCAGCCCCGCGCGGCTTCGCGCCGGGATCCGGGGGGTGGCGCGGAGCTGCAAGAAGCCCTGGAGGCAGGCAGCTCCGTGCCACCCTCCGCAGCCCCGCGCGGCTTTGCACCGGGATCCGGGGGTGGCGCAGAGCTGCAAGAAGCCCTGGAGCGCAGGCAGCCCCGCGCGGCTTCGCGCCGGGATCCGGGGGGTGGCGCGGAGCTGCAAGAAGCCCTGGAGCGCAGGCAGCCCCGCGCGGCTTCGCGCCGGGATCCGGGGGGTGGCGCGGAGCTGCAAGAAGCCCTGGAGCGCAGGCAGCTCCGTGCCACCCTCCGCAGCCCCGCGCGGCTTCGCGCCGGGATCCGGGGGTGGCGCGGAGCTGCAAGAAGCCCTGGAGCGCGGGCAGCTCCGCGCCACCCTCCGCAGCCTCCTACGGAGGGCGCCCCATGCTCCGCGCTGCTGGCTGCCGCCCGCAAGCCGTGCACGCGGGGGGGGAGTTCCCCTGGGCGCGCAAGGCTTGCGGACAGCTGCGCGAAGAACGGGGCGTCCTCCGAAGGACGCCCCGCGCTCCGCGCTGCAGGCTGCCGCCCGCAAGCCTTGCGCGCCGGGGGGGAGTTCCCCCAGGCGCCCAAGGCTTGCGGACAGCTGCGCGAAGCACGGGGCGTCCTCCAAAGGGCGCCCCGCGCTCCGCGCTGCAGGCTGCCGCCCGCAAGCCTTGCGCGCCGGGGGGGGGGAGTTCCCCCAGGCGCCCAAGGCTTGCGGACAGCTGCGCGAAGCACGGGGCGTCCTCCAAAGGGCGCCCCGCACTGCAGGTTCCCGCCCCCCCGCCCCGCTTCGGAGCCTCTCCCGCCTCCCTCCCACGGCACACCAGGCAAGGTCTCACGGCACACTGGTGTGCCGCGGAACACCGGTTGGGAAACACTGCTTTAAAACACTCCACATATACAAGAATGGGACTTTCCAGTTTCCCTATACAGTACTGGAGGGTTCTTTGTTTTGGCTTTTTTGGGGGGGGGAATGCAAAAAGGTATGTGGGTTGGAGAATAACATTGTCTCAAAAACATGGAAGAATAACAACATGAGTTTGCTAGGAAGGAGAGAAAGGAAAGAGAGGAGAGAGGTGAGCAACCAGATCAATAAAGGACAACATCCAGAAGGAAGGATAAAAATGGACACCATCACCATGACATTGCTAAAATAGCATGCTGGAAAAAAATATGTGCTTGACCTGATAGCGGGACTTGTTCCTCAGATAAAGGACACCCTTTGCTCTAGGCGATACTGGAATACATTTTAGTAGTATTTTTTAAAGGCACTATAGGCTCATCCGGACTTCCTTTTGCACTGGGCTTTCCAAACATAGGGCCACGCTTTAAAGCCCAGACCAGTGCCTAGAAACACGGCACAAAATGAAGTCTGGAAGAGACCTATGTCTCTATGTAAAACAGAAGTAACAAGTGAGAGTTGCAACAAAATGTTACAGTGTAGGGTACTCCTGTTCAGAGTGATAGTCAGAGAGCTATCTTTTCCAAGATACTCCATTCCTGACCTCCCCTCCCACATTTTCTGTTTCCCTACCCCAACAGGCCCTCGGCATCCAGTGGCCACCAAGCACACGGGTTGGTGGAGGGTATTTTCCTAGTGTCTGCAAAGCTTGAGGTTCCACACAGTATGTGAATACAGCCACTTTTTTCCCAGTAGCCCGTTTTTGGCTACAGTCCTATCGGCACCAACTAGCCCATTTTGCTAATAGAGCGATAGTACGTATTCACGACAGCCAAAGAGACTATATTTTCCTCTGAAGATCATTGCACAAAAGCCTTAGATATTTTTGATCCATTTGTTTACAGATGTATAGCTTGAGCAGTATGATGGTAACATAGATGCAAGCATGCAGTCCAGCCCTCTCTCATGGCTGCTTTCCAGCAGATCTAAACAAACAAACAAACAAACAAACAGAACTGTAGGATTCTTCTAGAGCTGTACCAGGGTCATAGCTTCGCAGCTTTGCATGTAGAATGTTCCAGCATCTTCAGTTAAAGCTGGGAGAGACTCCCTGCCTGAAACCCAGAGAGGCCACTGTCAGCCCGTGTAGACAATGCTAAGCTAGGAGGACCAATGGCCTAATCAGTATAAGGCAGCTTCCTATGTTCCCCTGCCTCAAGGGAAGAACCATAGCTCAGTGGCAGAGCATCTGCTATGCATGCAAAAGCTCCCAGTCTCCAGACAGGGCTCAAAATGACCCTTGCCTGAAACACAGGAAAGTCATCATCAATCAGTGCAGGCAGTACTGAGCTAAATGCACCAATGGCCTGATTCAGTATACGCCAGCTTCCTCTATTCCTATGTTCTACTTCAGGCCAATTCACTTGTCACATTGGGGGGAAAGCCAACAAAAATAATCCTCTTTGCTGCTGGAAAGCAAGCACTTCAGGCCAGAAGTGTTCTCCCTGAGGTGCTAGCTTTCTGAGGGGTGGGGCTGGGGAAATAGCATCCCCTGAGTAGTTGCCATGTAGAAGACAGCAAAGCCAACCCACCAAATTCCATGGGATTGTTAGCAGGCAATGCATTAGACACTTTGAGAGGTCCTTGGAGGAAAAGCAAGCTATTAATAAATAAGAATCATACTATCATGCCCATGCCATCTTAGGAAGCTGGCAGTCTTCTTATTCCTAGAATCAACGAAAAGAAAGAAGAACTGTGCCAGGTTGGTGACCTCCTAAGAGAATCAACAAACCCGTAGCAGCTTCCGCTACTGCTGATTCACCTTGGTGCTCGTCCAAATCCCTCAGCATCAGGGCTGTCGACAACAAACTCTGCATAACACAAATGTCTATGGGCAACATTTTATTTTACTCTTTAAAAAAAGCCACAATCTAGTTAGGGAGATTTGTAAGCAGATGCCCATAACTACCTTGACAGAGAGACAGTGCTGTATTAATGGTTAGAGTGTCAGACTGAGTAGCTGGGAGACCAGGAGTCAACTCCCCCACTCAGCCACAAATCCCACTGGGTGACCTTGGGCCACAGTCACTACTACCTCTTAGACTAACTTCCCTCACAGGTTTGCTTTGAGGACAAAATGAGAGAAGTGTGCATAGCACACCGAGCTCTTTGGAGAAAAGGCAGAATACAAATGCAATAATAAATACATAAAGCAACACAGATTCAGGGCAAGGCTAAAAATTAATGTGTGTGGTGGGACAGGAAACACAAGCAGCACTATTTGGGAAGTTTTTATTACAGGTGAAGGGAGTTTCTTCCCTTGCCACAGCCCCATCAAAAATCACCTTCATGAAGTGGCTATACAAATGTTCTCCGCATTTGGAATGGGTTCCCTTGGAGGATGATGAACTCTCCTTCACGGGAGGTTTCCGAGCAGAGGCTGGATGGTCATCTGTCATGGATTCTTTAGCTGTGCTTCCTACATTGCAGGAGGTTGAATGCCTTGAGGTCTCTTCCAACCTTAAAATTCTATTATTTTATAAGTCGTGTGTCTTTGTTTCTCAGTTTTATCCTTTTGCATGGTTTTGTATGTATTGTGGCATTTTATGCATTGTGACTGGTTATTTTTATTGATCAGAGTTTAGTAATTATTTATTGTAATTGTTAAGAGTGAATTTCTGTTTATTATTTGCTGATGTCTGGGAGTTAATTTTATTGTGTAACATTAAATCCTAATAGATTACTGAATATT